TCCCCATGGAAGCTACCGACTTTCCACCAACCACAAGATCCATAAAAGAGAATGGGAATGAAATTGAAGGCCAGCGGAGGCCAGCCCCCACCCCTAGCAAAGATCGCGCGCGCAGAACCTTGTTCCTGTTCAGTGTCCCTTGGTGGTGATGAAGAAATTCTGGTGACCAGAGACAAAAGTAAACAAAATCAGATTAAGGCTGGGTGCTCCAGCGCTCTCTTTTTCACCTGAGGACTCTTAGATCTGGGTGGAAGCTGAGTGGGAAAAGTTCTCTTTTAATAAAATTACAAAGCCATTTAAATAAGATGTGAGAAAGAGCAACAGAGTTCGTGATGCTTTACTGTCCTCGAGAGGTTGTTTTCAGGACCTCCAACAGATAACCCCAACCCATGAGTGCCCTTAGACGACACAGCATACGAGCTGCACAGAACCCTGCATAACTGCTCTCTGGATTACATAATGGCTAGGCCATGTGCAGTGCTTAGTCTGTATTAGATACGGAGTAATGACAAGGGAAATCTACAGGTGCTCAGCACAGGTATGTTGTTCCCTAATACTTCTAATCCTTGGTTGAAATCTGTCATGGTGGAAGTTGCAGAAAAAGAGAGCAACTGTCAAAGGGGGAAGTGGAAGCACCACAGTGGAGATGAGACTTGGCTGTTAGTTGTCCTGTACTGGAACAAATACCAGGACCACAAAGGAGGAGGAAAGATTACTCTGGCTCATTTTCTCAGAGCCCATGGCCACTCGCCCACTGCCCTCGGGCTGCTGAGGAGGCAGCACGTCACTGAGGAGCTCCCCAGAGCTCCCCAGCCATGGTGGCCAGGAGCCAAGAGTGGGGCCGGAAGGGAGGGCCTGGAGCCCCACGCCCCCGACAACCTCGCATCGTTCCGTTAGGCCTCACCTCTGATGGCGTCTACCACCTACATGCACCGCAAGGTTGGGTGTCCTTGGGCTGCGCTGAAGACCCAGCTACGGCACCTGGAAAACGTGCTGCAGACAACACAGAAGCTTAAGAGGAGGGTGCAGAAGCAGGCCGCTCAGAGGCTGACTGCGGGGCTTGGAGCCCAACAGGAACAGAGCCCAGAGCCAATGCCAGAAGTCTGGCAACGGGGACAGGCGGAGAAAAAGAAGTAACTTCTGCTCTAGGTCTCGCACTGCATTTATTGTTGTTGTTTTTCTCTTAAGATGTCAGCAAAATTTACATTTCATGTTCAAGTAATCCTACTGGCTGGTTAGGCCTTGTGCGGCCGCTCTCTACTAGAGCAGGATGACAGGCTCTGTGCTTACGCGACGGCAGCCGACCGGGCCGCAGCCTCCAGTGTCCTGGCTGCTGCACTGGCAACTGATGGACTCACATGAGCACTCATCCTGGTGACTGATGAAGATGAGAAGTCTTCATACCCTTGAAAGCAGCTCACCAGAGAAAAGGCATTCCATGTGTAGATGACCACGACATTCTCTTGGTAAAATAATGCCTCTGTAACCATCCCGCTGCAGCCTTTCTCCTTCCTACGCAAGTCTTGGGCACAACTTCCCTCCTGGGGCCCAGATCTTCGGGGCCGGGGTGCCGAGCTCACTGCAGGAGCCTGAACAGAGTCCGCCTCCTCTCGCCCAGCTCCATCTCATTCATCTTGGATGTAACAAGCCCTTGCCATCCCTTATTCATTTCTCCAGCTGCTGCTTCCAATTACTACCCAGGCATCCTCTGGCTGCGGTCCCGTGGGATCTCCTTGATCACGCCACCGTGGCTCCTTGGTGTGACAAGAACACATCAAGTAAATCCTGACCCCAAGCCTCCCGTGAGACAACCTCTCAGCTGTGATTCCAGGTAAGACTTAAAAGAAAGTTAAGCACCGCCGACATACAGGGCAGACATTCCCATTCCAAAAGGGAGACACAGGGGGATAGAAAGCAAGGACCGAAACGAGGTAAACCCGGAGGGGCAAACATTAACTCCTGCAGTTTCATGTCTGGCATGGGGGCACGTGCTGGTGACATCACGTGAATTCCCAAAGGCCTGCATGGCCTGCCCGTGGCCTCATTGGCCGCAGCCCTCGTGGCTTCTTCCTTGGGGCATCTTCTCTCCATCGCTGGCATGTTCCCTGGATGCTTCTTCGCATTTCCAGCTCCTCTAACTCTCTGTGTCCAACTGTACTTCTGGCTTCACTCTCACTGGGACATCTTCACACTTCACTTCATGCACTACCCTTGCCATGGCCTCAAGTGCCTCAATTCTCAGGCCTTCTTTTGAAATCTTATGGAATCCTCCATGACCCAGTAACTCTTGCATTCTGCATGCTTATAAAATCAACACCGTGTGGATGACGCCAAGGTCTGCTGCCAATTCAAGCAGCAGCCAGGTCCTCTTGGATCATGGCTGCAGAGCTCTCTATGTGCCTGGATGGTTAAGTACTATAAAGAGAATCCTAGGGAACAAATCCCTCAGGTGACCTTTCTTAAGGTGGGTGCCCTGTAGCTCTTTTTTCAAAAGAAAGCTGTATAGCCTTGTACCATGAGCCTTCGATGGATGGGGCCTTGAGGATTTGAGATACCCCTTAGGCACAATCCTATTGTTCTGATGCAAAGTACCTAACTTCTTTATGATGCGAATATTTTCCAGAACTATGCTGCCCTGGGATAACACTATATAGGCTCCAATTTTACAGGTACTGCCTCTCTGCCTCTGGCAGATATTTTTGTATTATTCGGCTCTACTTTTTTTCTTGCTTCTCCCAGAGGATATGGCTAGAAGTACCCATGTATACCCTCAATATTGGGGTGTGTAGTGAATAGCTAACTGCTGGTCAACTTGTCACACCAAGCTGAGTTGAACTAGCATGGTTCTGTATGTGGGAGGCCCACTGCTAGGGATGCTGTTTGGAGAAGCTGCTGGTTCTCCTGGGCTATTCTGATGGAGGACCTTATCATGCTGGCTTTCTTGATAAACCTGGCTGTTCTTGTCTAAGGAGGCGCTCAGGACCTTTGTTGTCACTGAGGACAGCTAGGGTTCATGTTGGGGGAGCTCTGGTCCTCACCTTGAGCATCACTTCCGGCTCTGGAGGGGAAGATGGTGTGCAGCTCAGCCTCCTGGAGAAGCTTGTCATGCTGGTTATCTTGATGGGAACCCAGCTTTCCTCAGCACTGGAGGAGCTCGAGACCTCACAGCTGCTGAGGACGGCTGTGGTACCTTTGGGGGAGCTCTGGTGGTTACTTTGAATCTTGCTTCCTGGCTCCAGTTCAGACCCCTCAGCCCGCTAGCACAGATCCTTCGTCCTGCCGCATAGACTTCCTAGCTTCCACCACCGGCGTTTGGGCCTTTCTGGTGCAGATCCGTGAAGTGGGCCTGCGTGAGACTTTGTCATGAGCTCTAGGCCTCCAGCTGGACTTACGGGAGGCACTGTTACAGGCTCCAGGTTTTCAGCTGGACTCATGCAGGGTGTTGGGATCCAGGCC